CGATTTGAGAGAGGAGTAGCTGTAATGTCTGCTTTATAAATCCTAGCAACGCCATCTCCCTGATCCAGCACACATTCCCCTCTATTATCATTCGTCTTCCTTAAATGGATTTCAGAATTCAACAGTGAAATTATTTTGCTAACATTTCTGTTTGCAATTGAAAATCGCTCTGGAGGTTATTTTGCTTCGGCATTAAAAATTGTATGGCGTGTGTGAAAACCGACTTCTGTCATTACAGACTTCTTCATTCTGGGATAAATTATGGAAATGGTTTTGCCGTGTTACAGGGCACACTTTGGAAAAGAAAATTGCTTTAGGTTATAGAGCACTTTTATCTTTAAATCTCACGCGTCTCATTTTAAAGCAGTAGAGTGATACATCTGTGCTGTACCTTTGTCAAAGAAGAGGTATTTGTACTGTACAAGCCACCAGAAAATGTATGGGAACCAGTCCTTCTTGTATAGCACAAAGAAGGGACTTTTACACTCTAGTTTTTGGTGGTTTAGAACAGTAATTCTCATCATGATTATAGTGTATACCTGTTAGCAAATATTTATCAGTCTATGGAGCTGTACCTCTAGTACCCCCTAAAAAAAACATTCATTTATACTTTTTGGAAAGCTAAAAATCACATTTGGAAAATGTTTAAAAAGATAAAGTACACCATCAGACGTACATATAGCATTGTTTGTTGAGTCATAAAACGTAACTATATATAAAATGTGCAGGGAGTTGCTGACAAGGAAAACTTGTCATGTCGGGGTGGTGATGGACGCTGGATGGCAGTGTCAGCGGCTCACTGCCATCATTGGTTGCCACAGGGCTGTAGCTACCATGGGGCGAGTGAGGCACTCGCCCTAGGCACAGCTGAAATGGGGCGCAGCCAGGGCCCCATTGGCAATAGGGGCACCAGGCAGCCAACACAGCCGTGGCTCAGCAAATACGCCCCAAAGAAGCTCCTGTACTTCTTTGGGCGTAGGGCGTTTTGCAGCGCGTTCCTACGCGCTGTATAACGCCCAGGTGGTAACCATGCCCATAGGCAATCATTTGTTTTCACATGTTGAGCGTTTTACAGAGCGTAGGAACGCGCTGTAAAACGCCCAGGTGTGAACCAGGCCTTAGAGAAGGAAATGGCTCAGATTTCTCATTACTAGTGTGGCATTGCTCACTAAAAAAGCATGCAGGAGACTGGGCAGGATGCTAAACTGCTGGGTTTGAATAGTGCTGGCATCATTCTCTAGTTATATTGTCATATAACACAGCCCAGGTAAGTAGATTGTGAGAGTGTGTAACTTTACATTCTGTTATACAGGTAAAACCTTTCCTGCACGTACATTTCAACTGTGTATTTTGCTGTATTCGTTTCTGTTAATGTACTCGTACAGTTGTGCACATTACAGATGATTTCAGCAGTCTGAAAATGAATGACATGACAGTAATCACAGCTCTTCATTTCAAAGTTTAGAAATGCAAACAGATGGGTAGTAATATTTCAACTGATCATTTCCTCTGTTGTTCTCAGCTGATGAACACGTTACACGCATTATTGCCAAGTGGAAGTTCACCTGTTATGCAGTGCGTAGCTTACGTGCTACGTCTAAGGGTCTGATGACTCCTTCAGGAATGACATTTATACATACAAATCTTACTTTCCTCTGTCCTTCCCATGCCTTGATCTGCCACAATAATTCTGATCTCTTTATTTAGAAATAAGGTATGTTTTATTCAAGTTTACAGCCCTGTTTTTCAACTTTTGTAGACGTTCTTCGAATCATGGCATGGGGCACTTGGTAGTTTTATCCAGAGAGATCTTGTTGTCTGCTGAACTCCTGATCCTAATTTTGTTTTATTTACAGGCCAGACAGATCCATCTAGCACTCAGATCTGCAGCCTCTCCATTGGCTCCTGTCCAGCGATGTGTACCTGCAGTAATGGTATTGTTGATTGCAGAGGAAAAGGTCTTACAGCGATACCAGCAAACCTGCCGGAAACTATGACTGAAATGTAAGCTTCCCTAATTCTTTTTAAATGAGGGAGACATGCAGGCTGCCATTGCTGACCTCGTTTTTACAATGCTAGTTGCCTGCATGACTTAAAGTAGAACTTAAGACAAAACCCTTTTTTTCATTTTGGGTAAAATAAAGGAGGGTATTTTTTGCCATCTGTCTCCTATTGGAGACTTTCCTTCACTTCTTGTCCCAAAGCCTCATCATGAAATGGGAGGAAATCCCTCCAAAGTGAGGGCTGTCCCCAAAACTAGTGTCCCCATAGTAAGACTTCCCCTCTATTACTGTTCTGGTGACTATTTTTTCAGTAGGTACTCTTTTGTGTAGATCGACCATGAAAATCAGTAAAATAAAATTTATATTGGAATGCCAGCCAAAAGTTCCTTTTGTTTAGGGAAAAAATGTATTGCTTCTTTTCCAAATGGGATCTGTTGGAAAACTTATGCTAACTTGCCGTATGGTGACTGGGACAGGTCAGGAAGCAAGACCAGTCTCCTTAGTGGGGGCATAGACAGCAGTAAAAATCTGACAGAGTTTCCCTTTAAAATGAGCATTACTACAAAGACACTGCAAAACTGAATTATAATGGAAGAGGCGAAAGAAAGGAAAGTAATCAGTAAAGTAAATGTAAAGGAATGCAGAGTAATATCATTTTTTTTAGAGATAGATCATCTGAAATGGTTGACCTTGGCCTTCAGGTGCTATATTACTCTGCACTGTTATCTAGTTAACCATTTACTTGCAAAAGGCTGCACAAAATTGCATTAATGCCTTTACACTCCAGATAAATTTATGGACACATTTTGAAAGGCCATATAGAATGAACCTGAATACAAATCCAGATTAAAGGACTGAAAATGCTGAAGGCACTTATTTTGATTTTTTATGGATCACCTGTAGTAAGCTCTAGGGACAAAATTGAAGTGAAATAGTTTGATACATAAGTGTAATCATAGCAGATTACATTGTATTGTGTGTATTCTGTGTACGTTGCAACTTTCACTTTTGAATTTCCCGCCGGCTGTGACGCCCGAAAACAAAACTAAAAGTCAGATGCCGGCATCGGCCGGCCGCGTACAGCAGAGGACGCCGCAGGCTCGCAGGGACAAGGTAAGTGACACTTTTCTGTGCATTCCCGAGTCTGGCTCGGGGTTACCGCTCCTGGTATTGAAAATTAACCCCGAGCCAGACTCGGGAATACTGCCAGGGAGGTTAATAGTGTACACCTTGATTTGAATATGAATTTAGTAATAAGATTATATTCAAGAGGGGAAGGTCCTACAGCCACACCCATAAAGTAATATGTGGACAAAAGAAACAGTTCCGAAGCCAAAAGGCTAAGGGCTGGAAGTCATGAAGGGCTTTTTAGGCAATTATAGGACCTTCACAGACACTTAAAATTGTGTAAAAATATCATATTTTATTAAAGAAATTAAAAATGCGAAACATAAACACATACAGTATATGCATATTGGTGCTCTGCCTAAACTTAGTAAGCATAAACTTCGTATACTCATATACAGAGATGATGTACAGAGATGTACATGGCAGCTCCTATACTTCTATCCTGACAGATAACTGTATCCTGACAGATAGCTGCCATGGCTACATTTATAAACATGCAGACTCTGGAGCTGACATGGTAAACGTATGCAGGACTTGAGTCCATACTTTTCAGAATCCAATGGCTGCATGCATTTTTAGGTCAGCCTTAGAACCTGTACCTTTAAATACAGTCAGCAATGGCAGCTCCCGCAGTGATATCCACACAGGTTCACTTTACAACAGCCATCAATAAAAAATGAGTAAGTCTGTACACTGTGTCAATTGCAAACAATAATATATTGCAATATAAACAGTAGTGGGTGCCATAAACCACTAACAGCTGTTCCCAGCACCCATAGCAACTTTATATAGTATTAGTAGAGTTACTATAAACATAAGCAGAGAATAGGGACAAAGTTTATTTGATAATGCGTTATTGCGTAATCATTGTTTCAGTGACAAAGAATGCATCATATATACAAGAGTCTGATCAAAGTCAACAATATAGAGTAGTAGTCAACGTAAAGCCCTTTTCATAAACTGGTATATAGTCATGTATATAATAACTGCAATTAAGACCAAACACACAGATTTATTATTTAGACATGCCATAAGACAAACATAGTATACCACAGCAATAGCAACAGAATACAAGAATGCCAGCAAAAGTCAAGGGCCAATCACAAGATATGGAATCTTAACACAAGGGTTTGAGGAAAGAATCACCCTTCTTTATCACGGAGTTTCTCAGTAACAGAGAAGCATACTCATAAGCTTAATTGTGAAAATTAGTATTTCACGATGGGAGCCCAGTGTCAGTTGTATGACAAGAACAATGGAGGTGGAAATACTGCAATGCTACCAAGGAGACCGTAATGGAGCAAATTCCAGTATGGCAGCAGTGCACACACACAGAGATTGGGAAGATCGGAGGCTGTTTTAAAAGAAAAACAGAGTGCAACATAACATTATCAGTGCAGAAGGAGGAAAAACAGCCACAAACTGATGTAGTTGAAGGTGGTTTGTAGCAACCATTACTGCATTATATTACTCTTTGCCTTGATAAGGTGTGCAGACGGATTTGGAGCTGTTGTACATGTTGTTGCCATTTTAAGGTTCACTGCACCTTGTTTGTTCCTGATTGTTATGTTGATCTCTGCACTCAGTATTCACTTACCATTATGCAGACACCCGAGCTTTAGGCCAAGAGTAGTGGGCCTCCTTACTAACAAATGTAACACCGATATTACAAATATAAAAATAACAATTTGACTCTATTACTTATGCATTGGATTTCACACATGAGTTGAATATCTTAGGGATACAAATGCATCGCCTTAAATGTAGATCAAATCTGTCTTCTACCTTTTTCCATAGTTTTGTGTCTTAAATATTAATTGCCTTACTTAATGTGTATGCATAGCCACATTTTTTTTTTTTTTTTGGACGGAGTAGGGAAGGATTACAACCTCTTGTAGCGTTGTTTGAGTCCCTTCTAGGTAGAATCACCCTGATGACCGTTGTCACGGAGGCAAAAAGTGATTGGAAATCCAAAACCTTACTGTAGTCACCAGTGACGTGCGGTACCTCGTCCCCAAGCTACTGTAAAGGAGGAAGGGAGGAGACAGGGAGGAGTCTCCCTGTCCCTCGCTTGCTCCTCACCGCTGAGGCGCTCCGTCCGTGACAGGTTACACAGCAGGGAGGATTTCCCTGCTGTGCAACCTATAACAAGCCGATCTGAATGGAGAATAAGCTGTCAGCTTCAGACATGATTCTAGGTGAGGCTCTTCCTCACCTGCCTCCCCTGACCGCACGTCCCTGGTAGTCACCTGAACAAGAAGTAAGGGTAAATCTTCAAATGGGGACATCTGTTGGTGACAACTTTCTAAGAGGGAAATTCCCCTAATTTTGTGGATATTTTCTCTCACTTCCTGTTTCATCTTCTGGGCAGGAAGTGCAGGGAAACCTTCCCAAAGTGACAGAGACAGCAAAAAATAAACTGACATGATTTTATCACTTCCCCACTGTATCCAAAACTAGAAACACATTTTTGGCTATGCATGCACTTCAGTTGCTCCTACAGTGACAGGTATTCAGAGTGGGATTGTATCCATTTCCTCAGATTCTGTTTATTTCTTTCTTGCACACAGTGGCTCTTGTGTGTATTGATCACCCAAAGCAACAACTAAAATTGTATAGAGTGGGGCCAGGACACAACACACTGAAGTATCATCTAAAGGAAAAAGGGTCATTAAATATAAATGGGGAAAAGAAACTTTAAAATGCATAAGAAATATGTTACAGGTAGAAATATGAGAAAGGTCATCTTGACTCGTTCTCAGTTTGTATGACTGTATTTAATTCTATTACTAACATTCAGCAGTCAGAGCTTCTTGACTCATAATATGATCAGCCTGATATGGATGACTTAATAGTCTGAGCCCCCAGTATAATACCGCTAGCAGTGTAAGCTGGTGTTGCTTTCCACCTTTTACACACTTTCTAGACATGCCTCTGTGCAACACAAGCACTTGACAGACACCGATTCATCATCCCTTGTAAAGTTAAATGACCGTGAGGCTCCTGGAAGCTGAACAGAGGCCTACCTCACCATGTGTTGCAGAAAAAACGGGCCCCATTTCCTTCTGTAATTACTGCCGGGGCTCTCTGTTACAGCTGATCTCCTCCACTGTCCGGTCCTCTCCAGGGCTCGAGTGACTTCACTTAATACGCAGCTGCGGTCCAACAGCCGGAAGAGTCAGCCGAGCTGAAAAACATTACACACGCTTTATTATAACACCAAATCATTACACGGGCTCCTGCTGACATTTCCGAAATGTAATTGATGGAGTGTTGAGTCAGGTCATTGTGCTCCATGGGCACAGCTGACACATCACCTCTTCTCTGTGCATCTCTGTCTCGGGACACTTAGCGCAAAATATTAATTAACAAATCCCAGGGGTCTCTTTGTGGCTTTGAGAAGGGCACTTTCAAAGGTGACCGAACTCTTCATGTAAAAGCAATCTTGGTAATCGGAAATTAGCTATGAAAGCGAAGATTAGTCATTTAGGAGTAATACCTGCCTATTATCTCTAAAATTACTCTCCCCTGCAGCTCTTTTTGCCTGGAATATACGCATGCAGCAGAAATCCAGTTATGGCATATGGGATTAGACGCTGAGGTTATTCTGGGAGTCAAAATTAGTCTTTTAGTGCAGATAGCTTCAGCCCAGTCTTATGACAATTTTGCAAAGTACAGTGAAAATGATTTATCTATTCATACATGAAGAATTGGAAGCCCCCGTATATGTGACGTTTATTGCTGATTCTCTTACAACCAGTATTGAAAGAAAGTAATTTTGTTACTGAGTACAATTTGTTAGACAGGTCCTGTTGCCCACTAATGCTCCTGAGTAGGGGTGCACCAATACCGATACTAGTATCGGTGCCGATGCCGAGTATTTGGGCGAGTACTCGTACTCGCCCAAATGCTCCGATGCCTAGCCCGATACTTATTTCATTACACGCTGCCCGGCTTCCTGATTAGCCGGGAAGCCGGCTCCATGCTCTCTCGTCATAAGTGGTCATTACACGCTGCCCGGCCAATCAGGAAACCGGGCAGCGTGTAATGACGCGCTGCCCGGGTTCCTGATTGGTCGGAAGCTGGCCAATCAGGAAGCCGGGCGTCGTGTAATGACGTGGCGCTCGGCTTTCTGATTGGTCAGGAAGCCGGCTTCATGCTCCCTCGTCAGCTCATAACGAGGGAGCAGGAAGCGAGAAGCATGGGGACGACTTCCCTGCTAATCGGGAAGCTGGGTGGCGAGTCTTTACATGCCGCCTGACTTCCTGAATGGGACTTTTGGTATTCGGTATCAGCGAATACTGAAAAAAAAAATATCGGTACTCGTACCCGATACCGAAATACGGGTATCGGTGCATCCCTACTCCTCAGAGTCCAAAAGAGGAAAGCTGTACTTTAAAATATTTGTCTGCAGTTCAGTATATTAATAACGTAGAGACATGGAGGGGAATTTATTAATCGCTAAGGGGGGAGAGGAGAAGAGAGGCACCGACCAACGCTGGGGAGGGAAAGAGGGGCAAGAGATGCTGGGGTCGCCTAAAAATTTCCTTGGCCAAAAAGAGGTTGCACGTGGAAAAAGTTTAAGAAGGCTTGATCTAGAGCAACAATTATGTATAGAGCATTTGTTACATACAGTTAGATTAATCTAAATATACTTATTTCATATACCTTTTGACTATATTCATTAGATGGAAGAAGCTACAACTTTTCTTATAGTGTGGTCCATCTAGGAAAGCCAAGGCTGGACAAACTCCTGGAGCCACATAGCCAGTGGGCACATTATATGTGATGCCTCATTACCCATACTGTGTGAAATATGAAGGTTACTATTGATAACACTGGGGCAAGTGTGCACAGCAGGCGATCTGACTTTGCTGTGACTTGACTTGCTGCTTGCATGTTCCAGGTCTGCAAGCTTAGAAAGTATTCAAGTCAGAGATAGACAGATGTTTAAGCTTTCACTACATATAGGTTTTCTTTAAAGCTGTTAGCTTCTATTCAGGTGTCATTCAATATATTTAGGAATTCCAACCTCATAGCATTTAGGATTTGTTGTTTTTGTAAAAGACAATGCTGCTTCTGATTTGCAGTTATTATTAACCCTTAAAAATGAGTGGAAGTGTAGCCTGTTCTGTAATCTGCAGCCTTAAAAATAATACCCTGGCTCTGATTTTATATTCATCATAATTTAATTTCTCTTCAGACGCTTGGAGCAGAATGGAATCAAGTCTGTACCTCCTGGGGCTTTCTCTCCATATAAGAAACTGCGCAGGATGTGAGTACCCTCAGTAATTGGTTTAATTTAACATTTGCCATTCTTTCTCTGATTTTTTTTTAAAAACAGGATGAAAACACACAGTGAAAGTTTTGCTACGCTTTCTACATAAATACATGATTGGCATCTATTTGTTTAAAGATATACCAACAGTTAGAAAACTCTATGGCTGCACAGTGGCGTAGTGGTTAGCGCTTCTGCCTCGCAGCACTGGGCGGTCCCTGGTTTGAATCCTGGCCAGGTCACTATCTGCAAAGAGTTTGCTTGTTTTCCCTGTGCTTGTGTGGTTTTCCTCCGGGTACTGCGGTTTCCTCCCACGCTCCAAAGACATGCTGTGGTAGGTTAATTGGCTCCTCTTTAAGTTGGCCCTGTATGTAAGCATGTGAGTGACCTTAGATTGTAAGCTCCTTGAGGGTAGGGACTGATGTGAATGTGCAACTATGTAAAGTGCTGCGTAAATTGTCGGCGCTATATAAATACCTGTAATAAATAAATCTATGTGCATGACAATGAGTGTTGAAAAATCCCTTCTTCGCACCCCCTAGTTGACTCTACCTAGCCATATTTTACTCATGCTGGTCATTGCTTCAACTGATTGCATCTCTCGCTACACTTGGCCTGTGTATTGGCATCCTAAGTCGACCCTGGAATGTGGACGATGTTGGCGCCGGGACATTCAGTTGTAAATGCCATCTGATCAGCTCCTTCATTCACTAATTATGAATATGTCTGAGCTAAAGTTTCAAGGTTTTCACTTCTAATCACTCATTCCCAAAGAGTCAGAGATCTGCTTAATTACTTATTTCTTTAAATGTCATGCCAATATATTTTCTGCTCTTTCATAAGCAGCCACCCATTTATTTCTCTTCTAGGGAGGACAGCGGTAGAACAAAGTTAATTGCTTTGCCTGCCAGTTTTCTGCCTGTCGTTCAAACTTTTCTGCCATGTGTTATCACTAAAGGCCAGCGAGTAATGCTGGAAGGCAAGCAATGAGTGATTTGCATCCTCACAGTATAGAAGTATATATTATATATACTGTTTTGTTTTTTTTCATCTGCAATTTCTTGTCTGATTCTAGATACCTACTTAATTACAGGGTTATGAAGGGTGATGTTTCACTGAGAAAAAAAAATGTGGTCAGACATTTCCTCTTCCTTATGTACTGTAACTCTTATGTCCCCAGGACCTACTGTGTTTTTCTTCTTGATTCAGTGCAGGGGGAAGAAAGGCAGCACTTCACTGCATAGCAAAGAAAGCAGAGAACATTGTACTTTCTGTTTTATTTTTCTTTCATGTCACATTTGCAGAATTGTAATAGTTGTAAATCTGATATAGAACTATTATGAAGGCGCCTTTTTACCTTCTCAAGCAACCACAGAGCTCTGAATTTTGAGGTGTTCTATTTTGCACATTAAAGGAGAACTATGAGGTGAGTGAAAATCACTCATCCTTATAGTTCGAGCCGACGTGTGACAATGAAACTGTCACACGTCGGCTCAATAGATTGCGAAGTGAGCGAACACATACCGTTTCTCGCTCACTTCTCGATCATCTCCCAGCAGGGAGCGGCGACTGTCAGTCATGGCTCCCTGCAGGGATTCCCCCCTCCGATCCTCCAGCACTGACTGGAGGAACGGACGGGGGAGGGGGCGGGTACAGCTGGCTCTGCCTCTAATAGGCAGAGCCAGCTGTCACTCACGCAGCTGGGTGAATCTCGACAGCATTGTCTAGATCTGTCCCGGCTGCGGCGGTCTCAGTATACCGCAAGCTGTAGCTCGGGATATAATAGTTGTAGAATTTGCAATGTGTTAGAAATATCTACTAGTTTATTTGATATTCACCAAACATTCACTGCAGGATAATCATCAAGGTGCATTTGTTTTGAACTTACAGAGTTATTTACAATTGGTGAATGTTTGGTGGAAGTCACATTATTGTTATTATTTGTATTATGCAGGATTTATATAGCGCCAAGTGTTTGAGTAGCACTTTACAAAATGAAGAGAGACAGCAGAGTTACAATTCAAATTCAACACAGGAGGGTTAAGAGAGCCCTGCTTGTGAGAGCTTACAGTCACTGTTTTATAAATTTGCCCTTTTAACCCCCTCCCCGCCGAGTGTACTATACACATATGTGGCCTCACGGAGCTGGGCTTTTTTGTGTGGGGCCGCATATATGAGTACTTGTGTCTGTGCTGAAAAGCATGCTCCATAGCATGCCTCCAGCATGGAGACTCAACGGTCACCGGCATCTCTGGATCTCGTACCAAAGAGCTTGGACAACCGATTCCCAATCACATGATCAATGTGATAGTCTGTGATTGGCTATGACAGTGATCACTAGCTGTAGAACCCTCCCTATCTCTTTCTCCACGTTGAGGAGAAAGAGATACATTGGGGGGATGCATCAAAACTGGAGCAGACAAAAACTGGAGCAGTTGCCCATTGCAACCAATCAGCTTCTCTCTTTAGTTTGTTCAGTTAAGATTTGAAAATGAAAGAGAGAAGCTGATTGGTTGCCATGCACAACTGCTCCAGTTTTGATAAATCCATTGTATCTCTCACTAGAGGAGAAACATTTTACGAAAAAAAGGTATTTGTTAAAAATAAACAAATATAAAATCATTAGATCAGGGCCTGACCTAGGTCATTGTTAGTGTTAGTATCAACAGGGCCGGATTTCCCACAAGGCCAATCAAAGCCCGGCCTCGGGGCAGCAGGGAGTAGAGGGGCAGCAGGGGTGTGGAATTCCTATCTCCCGATGCCCAGGACATGCAGTTCCGGGCACCGGGCGGGTAGTTTTTTTCTACATTTAGACCTGCTTTGGGCAAGCAGAGCTAAATGTACAGCGGTGAAGCCACCTCTTGTTTGGTACAAGTGATTCTGGCGATGTCGACGAGATCACTTGTATACAGCCTTCAGGTCTGCCATTCTCCATGGGGGGAGGGAGTGTGGTGGGAAGGGGGGCGCATTGAGGAACCTGGCCTTGGGGCAGCAGAGAGAGTAAATGCAGCCCTGAGTATCAATGTGGTTTAGATAGGAGTATCCATGTTACTGTCAGTGTGACTTGGGTAGGATAAAAAAACAAAATGCTTCTGCAGCTGCCCATCCTCCTCTGTGGATAGCTGTAGAGGCCACTTCCACCCACTGCTGGGATATTAATGCAGAATGAAATGGGAAAAACCTGTAAGGTGCACGTCATTTAAAAAAATGTAAACGTGTTTAAAGAAAAAAAAAAACAGTGACACAACCTTTAGAGGACCATCAAGTAACACATTTTGATTTTATTCTATTAAAGGTTAAATTATGCTGTAAATATAAGTAAATTATGTGTGTAAGTATAAGTAAATTATGTCTGTATGTAGCCTTATTTTATACAGTATAAGGTATGGCTGCCAGTAGTAGTATTTACTGTGATATCTTCTCTTGGGTACACAGCTTGGACAGGAGCTCATTGTAAGGTCACCAGCTCATACACGACCAAGTTTATTTGCTACCTGAATTTTATCTTGTTTTCTTCATTATTGTTTTCCAGAGACCTCAGCAACAACCAGATCTCGGAGATTGCCCCCGATGCTTTCCACGGCCTCCGCTCACTTAATTCCCTGTAAGTCGAATTTAGAAAGGGGCTACCAAATCAAATTAAATTACTGGGCCAGGCATATCTGGAATGCATGATCTCATGTTGCCCGCCCGCAGACTCTCTCCCTTATGTAATGCAGATTTTAATGTAATTTCTATTTCAGAATTACATTATGGCTAGTATTAAATGTGGAGCATTTTGCACTGGGAAAATAAATATCTCCTATCATGCAGTGACGGCATAAAGCCATTTACTCAGGAGAGGCCCTTTAATACCATGATGTTTGGGATGGCTGCACCGGAAAATGTGAATTTTAATGCGGCTCGCTTTCTGTGGGCTGGAAATTGATGAGATTCGGCAGCTTCTCCCTTTCATGTTAATTAGAACGTCATGCAGAGAAGACGTAATTAAAAAGTCCACAAAAATGCTGCGTGATTTACCAACCTGTGAAATATATTTAATATGTTTGAAGAAGTGCCTTATCTTGATTGGCGGTAATAGGACTGCTTTATTACTGCTACAGTGTAAGTGAAGACTTGTGCTAAAGCTGATTATTAACGTTATTGAAAAATTGATACGTTCAATTAATTTCACATGCTGCAATGTAATGCACTGAAAGCTTATAGTGCTTGCCTTCCTGCGCTATAGCACAGAGCGCTCTACAGCAGGAATCTAAAGTTAAACTCCAGACAAAACAGATAAATACACAGATTTTATATATATATATATATA